AGCACCTCTGGGTGTCCCCAAAGCACCTCTGGGTGTCCCCAAAGCACCTCTGGGTGTCCCCAAAGCACCTCTGGGTGTCCCCAAAGCACCTCTGGGTGTCCCCAAGCACCTCTCGGTGTCCCCAAAGCACCTCTGGGTGTCCCCAAGCACCTCTGGGTGTCCCCAAAGCACCTCTCGGTGTCCCCAAAGCACCTCTGGGTGTCCCCAAAGCACCTCTCGGTGTCCCCAAAGCACCTCTGGGTGTCCCCAAGCACCTCTGGGTGTCCCCAAAGCACCTCTCGGTGTCCCCAAAGCACCTCTGGGTGTCCCCAAAGCACCTCTGGGTGTCCCCAAGCACCTCTGGGTGTCCCCAAAGCACCTCTGGGTGTCCCCAAAGCACCTCTGGGTGTCCCCAAAGCACCTCTGGGTGTCCCCAAAGCACCTCTGGGTGTCCCCAAAGCACCTCTCGGTGTCCCCAAAGCACCTCTGGGTGTCCCCAAAGCACCTCTGGGTGTCCCCAAGCACCTCTCGGTGTCCCCAAAGCACCTCTGGGTGTCCCCAAAGCACCTCTGGGTGTCCCCAAGCACCTCTCGGTGTCCCCAAAGCACCTCTGGGTGTCCCCAAAGCACCTCTGGGTGTCCCCAAAGCACCTCTGGGTGTCCCCAAAGCACCTCTGGGTGTCCCCAAAGCACCTCTGGGTGTCCCCAAGGCACCTCTCGGTGTCCCCAAAGCACCTCTGGGTGTCCCCAAAGCACCTCTGGGTGTCCCCAAAGCACCTCTGGGTGTCCCCAAGCACCTCTGGGTGTCCCCAAAGCACCTCTGGGTGTCCCCAAGCACCTCTGGGTGTCCCCAAAGCACCTCTGGGTGTCCCCAAGCACCTCTGGGTGTCCCCAAAGCACCTCTGGGTGTCCCCAAGCACCTCTGGGTGTCCCCAAAGCACCTCTGGGTGTCCCCAAGCACCTCTGGGTGTCCCCAAAGCACCTCTGGGTGTCCCCAAGCACCTCTGGGTGTCCCCAAAGCACCTCTGGGTGTCCCCAAGCACCTCTGGGTGTCCCCAAAGCACCTCTGGGTGTCCCCAAGCACCTCTGGGTGTCCCCAAAGCACCTCTGGGTGTCCCCAAGCACCTCTGGGTGTCCCCAAAGCACCTCTGGGTGTCCCCAAGCACCTCTGGGTGTCCCCAAAGCACCTCTGGGTGTCCCCAAGCACCTCTGGGTGTCCCCAAAGCACCTCTGGGTGTCCCCAAGCACCTCTGGGTGTCCCCAAAGCACCTCTGGGTGTCCCCAAGCACCTTTGTTGTCCCCAAGCATGCCCCTCACCTTCTCCACAGCATAGAACATGCGCTCGTAGAGGTCCTGCTGGGTGTAGACCGCGTAGGAGTCCTCAGCCCCATCCACGTAGTCCTTGAGGAAGAGGTGCTTGAAGGCGATGGTGTTCTCCTCCTTGAAGGTCACCACCATCTGGTTGCTGAGCCCAAACAGGATGAGCTGCACGACAAAGGCCACTGGGGTTCAAGCCCTACCCTGGGCACTGGGGGGGGGGGGGGGGGCCCGGGGCCCAAAATGCAGCGGTCTCAGCCCAAAGATGCTCCCAATATGATGTCGTCACCCAATAATGGGTGAGCATCAGCACCTGCGCAGTGACGCCAAGTCCCAGTATCCCCAGTGCCACCATCTCTATGTCCCAATGCCCCCAGTGCCACACTCCCCAGTGTCCCCATGTCCCAGTGCCACCCTTCCCAGTGTCCTCATGTCCCAGCACCACCCTTCCCAGTGCCCCCATGTCCCAGCGCTCCCAGTGCCACCCTTCCCAGTGTCTCTGTGCCCCCAGTCCACCCTTCCCACTGTCCCCATGTCCCAATGCTCCCAGTGCCCCCCTCCCCAGTGTCTCTATGTCCCAGTGCTCCCAGTGCCACCCTTCCCAGTGTCCCCATGTCCCAGTGCTCCCACTGCCCCCCTCCTCAGTGTCCCTATGTCCCAATGCCCCCAGTGCCTCGCTCCCCAGCAACCCCATGTCCCAGTGCCCCCAGTACCTCCTCTCCAGTACACCCATGTCCCAGTGCCTCCCTCCCCAGTAACCCATGTCCCAATGCTCCCAGTGCCACCCTTCCCAGTGTCTTTATGTCCCGATGCCCCCAGTGCCCCCCTCCCCAATACCCCCATGTCCCAGTGCCCCCCCAGTGCCCCCATGCCCCAATACTCCCAGTGCCACCATGTCCCCATGTCCCAGTGCCCCCCTCCCCAATGCCCCCATGTCCCAGTGTCCCCTCCTCAGTTCCCCCATGTCCCAGTACTCCCAGTGCCCCTCTCCCCAGTGTCCCCATGTCCCCGTGCCCTCTTCCCAGTACCCCCATGTCCCAGTGCCCCCCTCCCCAGTGACCCATATCCCACTGCCCCCAGTGCCCCCTCCCCAGTGTCCTCTTCCCAGTACCCCCATGTCTCAGTGCCCCCCTCCCCAGTGTCTCCATGTCCCAGTGCTCCCAGTGCCCCACTCCCCAGTACCCCCATGTCCTAATGCCCCCCACTGCCCCCAGTGCCCCCCTCCCCAATACCCCCATCCCAGTGCCCCCCCTCCCCCATGTCCCACCCCATCCCCCTTCCCAGTGCCCCCCCAGTGCCCCCATGCCCCAATACTCCCAGTGCCACCCTTCCCAGTGCCACCATGTCCCCATGTCCCAGTGCCCCCCTCCCCAATGCCCCCATGTCCCAGTGTCCCCTCCTCAGTTCCCCCATGTCCCAGTACTCCCAGTGCTCCTCTCCCCAGTGTCCCCATGTCCCAGTGCCCTCTTCCCAGTACCCCCATGTCCCAGTGCCCCCCTCCCCAGTGACCCATATCCCACTGCCCCCAGTGCCCCCTCCCCAGCGTCCTCTTCCCAGTACCCCCATGTCTCAGTGCCCCCCTCCCCAGTGTCTCCATGTCCCAGTGCTCCCAGTGCCCCACTCCCCAGTACCCCCATGTCCTAATGCCCCCACTGCCCCCAGTGCCCCCCTCCCCAATCCCCCCACGTCCCAGTGCCCCCCTCCCCAGTGTCCCCACGTCCCAGTGCCCTCTTCCCAGTACCCCCACGTCCCAGTGCCACCCTCCCCAGTACCCCCGCGTCCCAGTGCCCCCAGTGCCCCCTCCCCAGTGTCTCCATGTCCCAGTACTCCCAGTTCCCCCCTCCCCAGTGTCCCCATGTCCCAATGCTCCCAGTGCCCCACTCCCCAGTACCCCCATGTCCCAGTGCTTCCAGTGCCCCCAGTGCTCCCGGTGTCCCCATGCCCCAGTCCCCGCTGCACCTGGACGGTGACGAGCAGGATCTTGGCCAGCTGCAGGCCCAGCTTCACGGGCCGCCTGCCGCGGGCCCGGTACTTGTCGCAGGGGCTCATGAAGAAGTACTTGAGCCGGCGGCGCAGCTCCTCTTCCTCCGCCACCCCCGGCGGCTCCGTGCTCCCGTACGCGGGCCCGCGGCCCAGCAGCCGCTCGGTCTCTGGGGGGGGGGAGACACGGCCGGTGACCGCCGGGGCCGGGGCCTGGGCCTGGGCCTGGGCCTGGGCCTGGGCTTGGGCCTAGGGTTTGGGCCTGGGTTTGGGCCTGGGCCCGGTTCCCCCCGCTCACCTGACGGGGCCGCCATGACACCGACGCAGCGCGGCTTGAGCCGCCCGCCTCACGTGACCGCGGCTCCGAGTCCCCGCCCCTTTGGTCGTAGCCGCGCCCCCTCTTGGTGGTAACCCCGCCCGTACGGTGGGTGTAGCCGCGCCCACCCGGCATGTGATTGGTCAGCCGCCGCCCGCTGTGGACACGCCCACTGGGCGGAAGAGGGTACGCCCACCTGGTGGCTTGCCTGTGCCAGGGTGGTGATATGGGGGGGCACATACATGTACAATGACATGGCACATGTGGGACACATGTACAGTGACATGGGACATTTGGGACACATACATTTAGGGTGACATGGGACATGTGGGACACATGTACAGTGACATGGGACATGCGGGACACATACATGGACAATGACATGGGACATGTGGGACACATACATGAACAATGACATGGGACATGTGGGACACATGTACAGTGACATGGGACATGTGGGACACATACATGGACAATGTGACATGTGGGACACATACATGGACAATGACATGGGACATGTGGGACATATGGACAGTGACATGGGACATGTGGGACACATACATGTACAGTGACATGGGACAAAGGGGCACATACATGTACTGTGACATGTGGGGACATACTCATGTACAGTGACATGCGATGCATGGGAGCACATACGTGTACAGTGATGTGGATACATTAACATGGATGGTGACACGTGGCATGAAGTGACATGCCCATGAATGCTTACATGTGGCATGGGGTGACACATCCATGTCAGGACAGTGACATGTTTTGTGGGGGGACACGTCCATGGATGGTAACATACATCATGGGGTGACATGTACATGCATGGCCACACATGGCATGGTGGGACTTGTCCATGTACAGCACCTATAGCATGATGGGACATGCCCATGGCATGTCCCACACATGATGGAGGAGGACATGTCCCCACCACCCATCCCCATCACACACCACAGCATCATCCCCTCCATGGCACCTTTATTCCCCTGTCCTCGAGGTGTCCCAATGTCCCCATGGCGTCCCCGTGGTGTCCCAATGGTGTCCCCATGGCGCCCCCATGGTGTCCCCATGGCTTCTTCATGGTGTCCCCATGGTGACCCCATGGCTTCTTCATGGTGTCACCATGGTGTCCCCATGGTGTCCCCATGTTGTCTCATTGGTGTCCCCATGGTGTCCCCATGGTGGCCCCACGGCTTCTCCATGGTGTCCCATTGGCGTCCCCATGGCTTCTCCATGGTGTCCCATTGATGTCCCCATGGGTACCAGTGTGTCCCATTGATGTCCCCATGGCTTCTCCATGGTGTTCCCATGGTGTCCCCATGGCATCCCATTGGTGCCCCCTTGGCTTCTCCATGGTGACCCCATGGCTTCTCCATGGTGACCCCATGGCATCCCCATGGTGACCCCATGGCTCCTCCATGGTGTCCCCATGGCTTCTCCATGGTGTCCCTCAGGCCCCCTTGGGCAGCGGCTCCAGCAGCAGCCAGAGCCCATCCTCGGTGCGCAGAATGAGCTCGGGCTTGCGCCGCGGTGGCCGCTCCGTGTCCAGGTGGATGCGGAACCGAGCCAGGGTCAGGGCCACCACCACCTTCATCTCAGCCATGGCGAACCTCTGCCCGATGCAGTTCCTGCCACCACGGCCCCTTCTGTCACCTCCATGGGTGCCAGCGGCCACCAGCCGGGGCGGTGGAACCTCCCCATGGGGATGGAGATGCCCCCAGGGCACCCAGACTGGGGTCCATCACCTCTCCATGCCATGGGGACGTTGGTGTCCCCGCCACGGCTCACCTGGGGCCAGCAGAGAAGGGGATGAAGGCCAATGGGGACCGTCCCTGGCTGTTCTCTGGGCTGAACCTCAATGGGTCGTAGACCTGGAGTGACACCATGGGGACATGGTTGTCCCTACCCATGGTGATGGGGACGTCTTGCCGCCCCATGGCTGTGCCCCCAACCCCGAGTGGTCCTACCTGAGGATCAGGCCACATTTCAGGGTTGTGATGGGTCCCATAGATGCTCATCAAGCAGATGACCCCTGGTGGGACATCAACGGCCACCTTAGGGACAATGGGACAAGGCGGTGGCAGTGGGGACACAATGGGGGAGCCGTACCCTTGGGGATGACCCTTCCATCACACGTGTCCAGGTCCTGGGTGCAGCAGCGGGACACGGCGGTCACCGGGGGATGCAGGCGGAGGCTCTCCTTGATGCACATGGTGGTGAAGGGCAGGCGGGACAGGTCCTCCCTAGGGGCAAGGGAAGGTGGCACCCATGTGCCAACGGTGGCCAAGGGGTGGCAATGGGGACCTCTCACCATTCGATGGCTTCCACATCCCGGCCCTTGAGGAGCTCCTGGACCTCCTGGCGGCAGCGGTCCTGGTGCTGCTGGTGGCTGGCCAGGTTGTAGAGCAGCCAAGCCAAGGCGCTGGCTGTGGTGTCGTGGCCTGCAGGGGCAAGGGGTGAGCTTGGGGACATGGGGGGCCACCTCCTGGTGATGGTGGCCGGTGGTGGCTTGGCCTCACCTGCAAACATGAAGGTGTTGGCTTCGGCTGCGATGTCCTCGTCCGACAGCGTGTTCCCATCCTCGTCCTGTCGAGGGTCAACGTGGTGGTCAATGGGCAACCTGCCCCATGGTCACCACTGTTCCATGGCCACCTTCACCTCCCTATGGCCACCAGCCTACAGCCAGGTCTGCCCATGGACACCGTCATCACCTTGGGGCACCACCATGCTCCTATGACCACCACCCCTATGGCCATCTTTCCCCATGGCTGCCATCATCCCCTTGGCCACCTTCACCTCCCTATGGCCATCAGCCTACAGCCAGGTCTGCCCATGGCCACCATCATTCCTTTGGCCATCACCAGGCCACTATAGCCACCACCCTATGGCCATCCTTCCCCTATGGCCACCACCATCCTCTTGGCCACCTCCACCTCCCTATGGTCAACACCCTATGGCCAACCTTCTATGGTTGCCACCATCCCTTTGCAGCCACCACCCCACAATGGCTACCACCCTATACCCAACCTTCCATGACCATGACCATCCCTTTGGCCACCACAATGCCCTTGGTCACCACTGTGCCCTTGATCCCAACCAGATCCTATGGCCAACCTTCCCCATAGCCACCACCGTCCCTTTGGCCATCACCACCCCATGACCATCACCACCCCACGGCCAACCTTCCATGGCCATCACAATCCTCTTAGCCACTATCATGACTCTGTGGCCACCACCACCACCCCACAATGGCCACCACCCCATGGCCAACCTTCCCCATGGTCACCACCATCCTCTTGGTCCCCTATGACCATCACCACCGTATGGCCAGCCTCCCATGGCCACCACCATCCCCTTGGCTGCTTATGACCATCACACTATGGCCAGCCTTCCATGGCCACCACCATCCCCTTGGCCACCACCATGACTCTATGGCCACCACCACCCCACAATGGCCATCACCCATGGAAAACCTTCCCCATGGCCACCACCATGACTCCATCGCCACCATCATCCACTTGGCCACCACCATGACTCTATGGCCACCACCACCCCACAATGGCCATCACCCCATGGACAACCTTCCCCATGGTGACCACCATCCCCTTGGCCACCACCATGACTCTATGGCCACCACCACCCCACAATGGCCACCACCACCCCACAATGGCCACCACCCATAGCCACCCTTCCCTGGCCACCACCATCCCTTTGGCCACCACCATGACTCTACGATGACCCCTTTGGCCACCACCACCCCACAATGGCCACCACCCATAGCCACCCTTCCCCATAGCCACCCCGCCATGGCCACCTTAGCGAGCAGCAGGAGGTCGATGAAGTCCATGCGCTGTCCATGGTGCTGGTCCAACCAAGCCTGGTGGCCCAGGCGCTGGAGAGCCTGGCGCCGGCGCTGCACCACGGCCGCGGTGAAGCCATGGACGGTGGCACAGGCCCGGGTGAAGCGGCGCCCATCGCCCGAGAGCCGGTAAAGCCACCACGGGTAATGGAGAAGGTGCTGCTGGCGCCGCACCACCAACCTGCTCAGCTCCAGTATGGCCTTGATGTACTCACTGGGCTGCCTATGGACCATCAGCGGTGGTCAATGGGGGACACCACAATGGCCATGGGGGGCTTCAGGGTATGGGGGACACACAAAGGCCTTGAGGAATAAAGGGGGGCCCCAAAATGGAGATGTTGGGGTGGTGGGATCTTGATGGGTGCAAAGCCCATGGGACCATCAGGGATGTTCAATAAGGGGGGACCTCAAAAAGGAGACGCTTGGGTGATGGGACCTTGATGGGTGCAAAACCCATGGGACCATCCGGGGTGGCCAACAAGGGCCACCCCAATGGGTATGGGGAGATGCTGCTTATGGGGACACCTAAAGGGGACCCAGAGCCTTTGAGGTGAGGGAATAAGGGGGGACCCCAAAAAGGAGATGTTGGGGTGGTGGGACCTTGATGGGTGCAAAGCCCATGGGACCATCAGTGGTGGCCAACAAGGGCCACTTCAATGGGCACAGGGAGATGTAGCTTATGGGGACACCTAAAGGGGACCCAGAGTTCTTGAGGTGAGGGAATAAGGGGGGACCCCAAAAAGGAGACACTGGGGTGGTGGGACCTTGATGGGTGCAAAGCCCATGGGACCATCAGGGATGTTCAACAGGGCCCACCCCATTGGGCATAGGGAGATGTAGCTTATGGGGACAGCTAAAGGGGACCCAGAGCCTTTGAGGTGAGGAATAAGGGGGGACCCCAAAAAGGAGACGTTGGGGTGGTGGGACCTTGATGGGTGCAAAGCCCATGGGACCACCATTGGTGGCCAACAAGGGCCACCCCAATGGGTATGGGGAGATGGGGCTTATGGGGACACCTAAAGGGGACCCAGAGCCTTTGAGGTGAGGAATAAGGGGGGACCCCATAAAGGAGAGTTTGGGATGGTGGGACCTTGATGGGTGCAAACCCCATGGGACCATCAGTGGTGGCCAATAGGGGCCACCCCATTGGGCATGGGAAGCTTCAATGGGGACACGGGGTGGCAGAAGGTCCCATGGCCATAGGGACATGTGGGACCGAGGTGGGGTGATGCCACCTGAAGGGGACTCCATTGGGGACCAAAGCAGAGCAGATGGGACCCCGGGGGCGGGTGACCGGGTGCGGCCAGTAAACAGACCACCAGGACACAGACCCACACACCCAAGCCCGCCAGGGAGGCAACAGGAGGCAGCACATCCAGCAGCCAGCAGCACCCAGGGTGCTGATGCTGTGCTGCTCACCACCAGGTGTGGTGCAGGCACATGGCTGAGGTGGGTGGGGGCAGGATGAGCCCAGGGTGCAGGTGGGATGGGTGCGCGCGCTGCGTGCCAGATGGGTGTGGTTGCTGGTGCATGGTGGGTCAGGATGCATGGTGAGGGCGCTGGGCGGGTGCACCTGGCCCAGCCATGGGTGCTGGGTGCAGGATGGGTGCAGGGTGCTGGGTGCAGGATGGGTGCTGGGTACAGCTGGGTGGGGGGACAGGATGGGTGGGTGCAGGATGGGTGCTGGGTGCCGGGTGCAGGGTACTGGGTACAGTACAGGTGCTGGGTACAGGGATGGGTGCTGGGTGCAGGATGGGTGCTGGGTGCAGGGTGCTGGGTGCTGGGTGCAGTACAGGTGCTGGGTACAGGATGGGTGCTGGGGGTAGGATGGGTGCTGGGTACAGGATGGGTGCTGGGTGCAGGGTACTGGGTGCAGTACAGGTGCTGGGTGCAGGGTACTGGGTACAGTACAGGTGCTGGATGGGTGCAGGGTGCTGGGTGCAGGGTACTGGGTACAGTACAGGTGCTGGGTGCAGGATGGGTGCAGGGTGCTGGGTGCAGGGTGCTGGGTGCAGTACAGGTGCTGGGTGCAGGATGGGTGCTGGGTGCAGGATGGGTGCTGGGTGCAGGGTACTGGGTGCAGTACAGGTGCTGGGTGCAGGGTACTGGGTACAGTACAGGTGCTGGATGGGTGCAGGGTGCTGGGTGCAGGGTACTGGGTACAGTACAGGTGCTGGGTGCAGGATGGGTGCAGGGTGCTGGGTGCAGGGTGCTGGGTGCAGTACAGGTGCTGGGTGCATGATGGGTGCAGGGTACTGGGTGCAGTACAGGTGCTGGGTGTAGGATGGGGGCTGGGTGCCGGGTGCAGGGTACTGGGTGCAGTACAGGTGCTGGATGGGTGCTGGGTGCTGGGTGCAGGGTACTGGGTACAGTACAGGTGCTGGGTACAGGATGGGTGCTGGGTGCAGGGTACTGGGTGCAGTACAGGTGCTGGGTGCTGGGTACAGGATGGGTGCTGGGTGCAGTACAGGTGCTGGGTGCTGGGTGCAGGGTGCTGGGTGCAGTACAGGTGCTGGGTACAGGATGGGTGCTGGGTGCAGGATGGGTGCTGGGTGCTGGGTGCAGGGTGCTGGGTGCAGTACAGGTGCTGGGTGCGTTATGGGTGCTCACGTGCATGACGCGGGTGCTCTGGTTGAAGACCCCCAGGTAGGCCTTGAGCCGGTCCCCATGGAAGGCGGGGGTCAGGAGGTGCCGGTGCTGCACCCACTTGCGCCCATGGCTCAGCAGCAGCCCGTCCCCTATGGGGGAGGGGAGGGGTCACCCATTGCCATCCATGGGGCACCCATGGGTGCTGCCCCCCATGCCCTGAGCCCGCACTCACCCAGCCAGGGCTGGAGGAAGCCGTAGAAGAGCGGGACCTTGGGGGCGATGGAGGCTGCGGGGGGGGAGCAGGGGTGAGGGCGCTGGGGTCCCTTGGGTGGGGGGACCCCAAAGTGCCAAAGGAAGGGGGTTGGGGGCATGGAGGGCACCAGGTTGGGGGTGGCACCTATGGGTGGCCATGGGGACCCTCAAGGACAGGCTGGTGGGCGCTATTGGGGGCTATGAGGGCAAGCCATGGTGACACCTTTGGGTGCAGGTCGGTGTTGGGTGCCATTGGGATGGGTGCGGGTTGGGGTTGGGTGCTATAGGGATGGGTGCAGGTCGGTGTTGGGTGCCATTGGGATGGGTGCAGGTCGGTGTTGGGTGCTATAGGGATGGGTGCAGGTCGGTGTTGGGTGCTATAGGGATGGGTGCAGGTCGGTGTTGGGTGCTATAGGGATGGGTGCAGGTCAGTGTTGGGTGCTATAGGGATGGGTGCAGGTCGGTGTTGGGTGCTATAGGGATGGGCGCAGGTCGGTGTTGGGTGCTATAGGGATGGGTGCAGGTCGGTGTTGGGTGCTATAGGGATGGGCGCAGGTCGGTGTCGTGCGCCATTGGGTGCAGGTCGGTGATGGGTGCTATAGGGATGGGTGCAGGTCGGTGTTGGGTGCCATAGGGATGGGCGCAGGTCGGTGATGGTTGCCATAGGGATGGGCGAAGGTCAGCGCCGTGCGCCATTGGGTGCAATGCATCCCCATGGCCGCTGGGCGGCGCTGCTGCCCTACCTGCGGCCGTTAGCACGGGGCGCAGCGTGTCGGGGTGGAAGAGCCGCAGCACCGGGAGCCAGGGCAGGAACCACCAGAGGCAGCCGCGCCGGTACCGGGCCGCCAGCGCCTCCGCCTGCTCCAGGCCCTCCTCCGAGCTCTTGGCCTGCCCAGGGGACAAGGGACAGGGCCCCCCCATTGTCGCCCCTCTTGTCCCCCCCTTGCCCTCCTGCTGTCCCCCCAGTGCCTCCCCATTGTCCCTCCCTTGTCCACCCCCCCATTCTCCCCCGTGGTCCCTTCTCGTTCCCCCTTGTCCATCCCCCTTGCTCCGCTGTAGTCGCCCCTCGTTGTTCCCCCATTGCCCCCCTCTTGTCCCAACCATTGCCACCTTGTTGTCCCCCCATTGCCTCCCCCCATTGTACCCCTACATCCCGTCGTTGTCCCTCCCTTGTAAGCTCTTATCCCCCTGCTGCCAGCTCTCACTGTCCCCCCCATTGCTGCCCCATTGTACCCCTGTTGTCCCCTCTCATTCCCCCTTGTCCCCCCCTTGTCCCCCCATTGCCGACCGTTGTGTCCCCCATGCCCCATCCTTGTCCCCCCGTTGTCCCCCCATTAACCTCCCATTGCTGCCCCCCGTTGCCGCCCCGCATTGCCCCCCATTGCCGCCCGTCGCTGCCCCCCCATTGTACCCCTGTTATCCCCGTTGCCGCCCGTCGCTGCCCCCCTTGACCCCCATTGCCCCCTTGTATTGCCGCCAGTCGCTGTCCCACATTGTCCCCCCACTGTCCCCCACATTGCCTCCCATTGCTGCCCATCTGTCCCTCATTGCCCCCTATTGGCCCCCATTGCCGCCCATCGCTATCCCCCATTTTCCCCCACTGCCGCCCGTCGCTGTCCCCCATTGTCCCCCCCATTGCCTCCCCATTGTCCCCCACATCTCCCCTCCACATTGCCCCCCATTGCCGCCCATCGCTATCCCCCATTTTCCCCCACTGCCGCCCGTCGCTATCCCCCATTGTCCCCCCCATTGCCTCCCCATTGCCGCCTGTCGCTGCCCCCCCTTGTCCCCCCATTGCACCCCACTGTCGCCCGTTGCTGCCCCCCTTGCCCCCCCTTTCTCCCCCAAATCCTGCCCTTCGCCGCTCCATTCCTCACCCCCATCGCCCCATTGCCCCCGTTGCCGCCCGTCGCTGCCCCCCTTGCCCCGCATTGCCCCCTATTGCCTCCCATCGCTGTCCCTCATTGCCCCCCCATTGCCCCCCGTGGCTGCCCCCCTTGCTCCCCATTGCCGCCCGTCTCTGTCCCTCATTGCCCCCCACTGCCTCCCATCGCTGTCCCTCATTGCCCCCCTATTGTCCCCCATTGCCCCCCGTTGCTGCCCCCCTTGCTCCCCATTGCCGCCCGTCTCTGTCCCTCATTGCCCCCCCATTGCCTCCCACCGCTGTCCCTCATTGCCCCCCCCCATGCCCCCATCGCCTCCCATCGCTGTCCCTCATTGCCCCCCCATTGCCCCCGTTGCCGCCCGTCGCTGCCCCCCATTGCCCCCTATTGCCCCCCATTGCCGCCCGTCGCTGCCCCCCTTTCCCCCCCCTCACCATTCCCATGTGCCCCAGGACCCAGCCGCGCCAGGGCGGGCGGGGGAAGCCGCGGAGGTGCCCGCTCGTGTCCCGGATGCGGGGGAGGAGGCGGAGGGAGCCCCAGAGCCCCCCCAGCGCCAGCAGCAGCGCCAGGAGCGGCCCCAGCGCCATGGCCCGGCCGGGAACACGCCAGGGACACGGCAGGAACACGGCAGGGACACGGCAGGAACACGCCAGGAACACGGCAGGAACACGGCAGGGACACGCCAAGGGCCAGGGCAAAGGCCAAAGGCCACGGAACCGCCTCGTCACGTGACAGCAGCGCGGGGTCACGGCAGTGGCGCTGGCGTCATGCGTGTCATGGGGGCATCAACACTTCATACGTGTCCTGGGGCTTCATGCACTGACGTGTGTTGTGGAGGCATCAACGCTTCATACGTGTCCTGGGGGCTTCATGCCCTGACATGTGTGTCATGGGGGCATCAATGCTTCATACGTGTCCTGGGGCTTCATGCCCTGACATGTGTGTCATTGGGGCATCAATGCTTCATATGTGTCCTGGAGGCTTCATGTCCTGACATGTGTGTCATTGGGGCATCAACGCTTCATACATGTCCTGGAGGGTTCATGCCCTGACATGTGTGTCATTGAGGCATCAATGCTTCATACGTGTGCTGGGGCTTCATGCCCTGACGTGTGTCATGGGGACATCAATGCTTCATACATGTCCTGGGGCTTCATGCACTGACATGTGTGTCATTGGGGCATCAATGCTTCATACGTGTCCTGGGGCTTCATGCCCTGACATGTGTGTCATGGTTGTCATTACTG